CTGAGTGAAGTGTCCATAGTATGGGCTTGGCTTTTAAGCTTTGACTGAAGTGTTTGAAATTTTTGGTAAGATTGATTTGGCAGCCTGGAAACATCAAATTTCTTTGTGGGGGGGAGGGAATGCCTCTATGCTTGGGCTGAGGCTTGAAGTGGAAGGACAACTCTGAGCAAACAAGTCAGTGGTCAGTATAGCAGTCAGCACTAGGCATGACTCTAGTGTGCAAACCATTCCCAAGATCACACTGACGCACCAAAATGTAATCTATCAGGTAGAGTGCAGATGCATCCAAGTGGTCTTTTAATGGTTTTTCTGTGGGAACTGGGTATTGGTTATTGCCATCTGTGTTTCCGCACAGAATTCCAGAAGCAAGCATCCATTATCGTTATATTTTCCCATGTCTTCCAAGCATACCTTTCTATGCTAGATAGTCACCACCAACTCTTGTGGTAAAATCATGCATAATGACAATCCTATCTTTGGATAGTACTTTCTGAATGAGATTGCGGAGGTCAGTACAGAACTGAAGTCTGTCAACTGTGTCTGCCAGAAGGGTTGGAGCATACACATTGATAATGGTGCCATGCTGCTGGTCATGCAAAGGAAGGCATAGGGACACGATGCAATTGGAAAGACCGATTTGTAAGCTTTGTAGCCTGGAAGCAATGGTGTTTCTTACCATGAAGCCAACATGGTTAGGTTAGATATTAGGAAAAACTTACTTACTAGGAAGGTAGTAAAGCACTGGAACAGGTTACCTAGAGAGGTGGAAGAATCTCCATCCTTGGAAGTTTGTAAGGTTCAGCTTGACAAAACCCTGGCTAGAATGATCTAATTGGGGATGGTCCCGCTTTGAGCAGGGGGTTGGACTAGATGACCTGAGGTCTCTTCCAACCCTAGCTTTCTAAAATTCTATGATAAGTCTGACTTGCCCCTAGATGGTCTGGCAAGCATGGACGTGGACAGGAGCCAGGACTCTATCCCGCCTGTGGGGTGGGAGAGGAGTGGTGGGGAGGGTGATGTAGCTTGGAGACAGAAACCTTCCCTCTGTAACAGCAGGAGCTAAGCTGCAACCATTGATAGGGGGGAGGGAGAAATCTTTAAAAAACCTGTTTGAAGTGAAATGGGGGAGCAGAGGAAAAAAAGAATTTAAAAAAATTTAAAGGACAAAAATCTTGCATGCATCTCAATGGATTGGGATGGGGGGTGGGGGAAGAGTTGGGTTAGGGGTGGCAGGGGTCATGCTGGCTGGGATGGCCAGGGTACAGGGATGAGAACCAGCATACTTGCTGTGTGGCACACAGCACATACCAAGGTAGAGCCAAGAAACAGGGGGTTTGTGGGGCGAAGAAAACTGAGGCATGATGAAGTGGCTGGCCAGCAGGGTGTTAGGGAGGAATGGCTGGCTGGTTGGTGTGAGGGAATAAGAATGCAGACATGGGCTGTGGTGCCAGCAGGAAAGGGAGGAGGCTAGTACAGCGAGGAGAGGGGGGAAAACCCTTGGCATCAGCCCACTTAAGCAGCAGCAGTGAGCATAGCTGCCACAGGGCAACAACATGGAGCCTGGGGAGGCATGATTCCCTGGCTCCATAATCTTAATGCAGTTAATCCCTGGCAGCTCCACTTTCAGCATGGAACCACTAGGCAGGAGACCAGTAGAGGTTCGGAGGGTGGAAAGGCTGGGAGCTGTGCATTTTGGGATGCTGGAAGGGGGCAAATTGATTGCTTGACCTCTGGGGAGCAGACTAACAATACTTTATTTTGACCTGTGTAAAACAGCTCAAAAGATAACCCTCACCTCAAGTGGTTTAGCTTTAAAATGCTTAGAGTACACTTAGAAAAGTTTAACACCCTTTAAACACAATGCTCCCATTTTTAAGTGCCTTTAACATGGTTTAAAGGTAACCTGTAACACCACCCTTTCTTTGCATTGGGAAAGCCTATTTTTGTGCCACTCTGACATTGCTGCAGCCCATGACACCATCACATCTGGCCCATGGGGCTTGCCACTGATGCGGAAATTTGGCAGAGGGGAGTGGTGGCCATTAATACGGCCACCAGAGGGCCGTAATCCCCAAACCCCATTCCCTGGGCAGCTGGTTGGAGCCAAGCTATGCCCCCTTCCCCTGCAGGACTTGGCCATGGCCCCCTGCTTCTGGCTCAGGGCTAGGCCACACCCCCTTCCCTTCCCGCAGGGCTGGGTCATGCCCCATTCCCCGACATGAGGCTGGATTGGGGCCTGGCTATGCCCTTCCCACTGGCTTGTGTCTGGCCCACTGGTAGTCTGGAGGCCTACTGGAAGTGCATGGTAGCACACCCCTGGCACTGATGACCAGCCAGAGCTCTGCACTGCCAGGCACCTGCAAAGAGCTAGGCATGTGCGGCTGCACAAATGTGGCTCCATGCATCTGTACACCCATGGCTCTGAGCTGCTGCCTGGTGGCTCAGAGCTCTGGCCAGTTGGCAATACCAGGAGCACGTGGCAGCATGGATCTAGGGATGTATGGCTGTGGGGGGGTGGGGGTGTTTGGGTAGCACAGAGCATCTGCAAGGAGCCAGGGGCATGCAGCAGTGCAAAGCTCTCACTGAATGCAGCTCCGTGCTACTGCTTGCTCCTGGCTCCATGCCACTGCCCAGCCAGAATTTAACTATTTACATAGTCAAACTCAGAGGAAAAACAATGGACAAAAATGATTCTGATAAATCATAATATATACAGTTGCACACAAGAAAAAGAGAGCTGCCTCTAGCGAGAAAACTAATGATTCAGAGGCAAATGATACCCCCATATTGTATCCGGACTTGAGCCTCTGGACCCACCTCATAAAAAGGAGCCTGGAATACAACCCCCACGCATATATATTTCCAAGAAAGAATTGCTTCCCAACCCATAAGGAGTGAAATTCTGAGATGAATGAACTCAATTGGAGTTTTGCCATTTCATTGCAGCTAGAACTTCAGTGAAAGACCTCTGAAATAATCTGTGCATTAGCCATCTTTGGGACTCTATAGCAATTAAGGCAGTCTCACATTTGTATTGTTGATCTGGCAGCACATAAATCAAGAGGGAAATCACAGAAACCTAAAACTCAATGTTACAAACTCCTGCAAAAACTGTAACATAGATTCATAGATGTAGGGTCAGAAGGGACCTTGTAGATCTTCTAATCCAACCCCCTGTCATGGGCAGGAGAGAAAACTGGGCTCAAATGACCCCAGCCAGGTAAACGTCGAGCATCCTCTCGAAGACCCCCAGGGTAAGAGCCAGCACCACTTCCCTTGGAAGCTGATTCCAGATCCACCGCCCGGACTGTGAAGTAGCGCCTTCTAATGTCCAGCCTGAACCTACTCTCAAACAACTTGTGGCTGTTATTCCTTGTTACTTTGGGAGGCGCTCGGGGGAACAAGGTCTCTCCCAAACCCCGCTGGTCCCCCCTAGTAAGTTTACAGATGGCCACCAGGTCCCCCCTCAGCCTTCTCTTGCAAAGGCTGAACAGGTTCAGGTCCCATAGCCTCTCCTCATAGGGTCTGCTCTGCTGTCCCTGGATCATGAGAGTGGCCCTCCTTTGGACCCTCTCGATGCTGTCCACATCCCTCCTGAAGTGCGGCGCCCAGAACTGGATGCAGTACACCACCACTCTGTGTACGACCCTTCAGCTGATCAGCAATCCATCTGACTGTGTAGGCATCAATGCCACAGTCACTTAGCTTTTTCACACTTGTTTCCATGCCTACTACTAGACCCAGATCCTTTAAACACTTAAACGCAGACATAACTCTACACAAATGGGTGATCACACTGAATTTACTGGGGCAACTTGCATGTACTATATAATGTTAAGAACACGCATCTGTGCTTGGCGGATCACAGCCCAACATAGCAACACGGAGAACATATATATGTTTTTGCAATAATGAATATATGGGAACCAAGTTACAGCTATTGAAGGAGCCATATTTTTTCATTCTAGTATTTGTGTGCATTAAGAATCTCATCCACAATGATGTATTAGCACTTCCAAGAATTTTTCTAAGTGGAAGCAAGCAGTTTATTTTTAGAAGCTTATCTGATTTCAAAATTGCTCAACAGATTTTATACAAACATTCACAACTGTTCCCTGTTAGGATTAGACCAAACATAGACAACTTAAACTCAAATGAACTATTTTTTTTAAAAGTTTTGAGTGACTAAAAACAGGCGGATTTGTGCCTTCTTACTCTCAACTATATTCAATGATAATTCTGAAAAATACCAAAAATATTTTTGATTTGACAATGACATGGTACAACATGAGAGACAGGGATCATTACCTACCCTAAAGAAAAAAAAAAACAGTTCACTGCAGGGATTTTTATTACTCAGATAAGTAAGTTTCCATGGCATGGAAACCTTCCTGTTCTTGCATTTCAAGCCATCCTGGTCCTTCCAATTGCTTATTTTTTGCATTGTTTCTGCACAAATAATTTCTCTTTACAGTGAAAATGATTCTGTGAAATAAATATCTGAAAATGACTCATTCTAAAGAATGCAAAAAGTGACACATTTCAGATGAATTAATGCACTTTTAAAATTCATATTCAACAAATTTTGGGTCACTTATGCCTTCTGTAAGGACATGACAAGAAGGTCAGGAAGGGAAGTTCTAGCACTTTGGTATCAGAGAACACTGATCTTTGGGTACAGTGTCCCCTGAGCTTAGGGAGAACCTGCTGCTGTATGTTACAGGTTATGTTAGCCAGCCTGGGTCGTGAGGTTGGAACTATAGCCCCAGTCCTGCAAGAACATCCCTTCTGGCACCATTTGGAACTGAAGGCAGATTTGTCTTTCTCTTTCTTCCCATGCTTCAGACTTCAAAAAGACAAACTAAAGTCTTGCCTGTGTGGGAGCACAGTGGCAAGATGAGTTCTCTGTGCCCTTCCCCACCCCCAACCTCTCCCCTCCTTCAGCACATTCACATGTAGTGAAAGGCAAAAATCCAATCATAATGACTATGATACTTAACTGTTTCTGAATGGGTTTCCTCCTTTTTCTCCCAGCATATAGGCATTCCCCAGGTGGTATCATTGTCTTGGCACTGAAACAGAGAAGCAGCAGGTGATTCATTTTCATAGATTTCTGTATTTCCTACCCCTGGACAAAAATGCCAAAACCTGGGAAATTCAAGACAAGGCAGTCCCTGTTCCTTAAGCCAGCACATTAGGTAAGGTTAAAAGGCATAGTATTACAATAGAAGCTGCAGAATTCTGTTAATGTTCAAGTTCTTTTTCAATTAAACCTTTAAAATATTGTATTAATGGGCATAAACTGAATGCTATTTATTAGCCAGCCTCTATCTCTCGGATTTTTTTAAGTCATTCCAATCTCCTGGTTGCTATACATTTAGGCTCAAGATGCTGTGACAAGATTGTCATGGAGCAATTTACCCTAGGTTTAAATCTGTAATAGATTTATCCCATACTAAGGAGTTGACATGCAACCAGACTGACCAAATTAGCCTTCTGCAGAGGGCACTATTACAACGTCTGGCCACTAGGGGCCAGAGCATTTTTATGCTTCATGTGCCGAAGTGGTTTGTATATAGCTGAATTACTGCAGTTTTTCGCACTGATGCACAGTTGGGGATTTTATTTTCTCTGGCAGGGAAACATGATGGCACTGCGTGGCTACCTGCTGGAAGTGAGAATTTGATGGTAAGTAACTGTGTCTTTTAGCAGCCCAACACCTTAATGGTTTTAGCACTTGCCCAGGGAGCAGAAAACCCACATTCTAAGCCCTCTTCACCCAGGGGATAGGGTTTGAATCTGTGCTTCCTACTTCTGAACAAAGAGCCCTAGCCACCAGGCTAGGCACTGCCCAAATCCCTGGTGCCTCACTGCCCTCCCTGCAGGAACTGTCCAGCCAGATGTACATACTTGGGCGATCCTATTTCCCCTGGGCAGCTGCCTGGCCACAACCAAGGCATTCTCTGTAGACTAGTGCAGGCAATGCTGAATCACAAACTGTGTAAGAGAGAACCTACAGTTATATGGCTATGTGCCCACCACTTAGATACAAGAAAAGGAAGTAAGACCTGGCCCTAGGACAGAGCAAACCGTACTCTGGAATGAGTGATGGCTAGCCCTGCTAGTCTAAAGTCAGACAGAATGTAGGGCAGGGTGGTACCTTAGAGACTAACTGGTTCAAAAAGGTATGAGCTTTCATAGGCAACAGCCTACTTCGTTAGATGGTCCGCATGAGTTGTAGGCTGTTGCCTATGAAAGCTCATATTCTTCCTGCCCTACATACTACAGGTACTCTCTAATAAAACTGATTAGGGGAGCACATATCATCACTCCACCACTGCAACTTGCACTAGAGTGTAGTTACTCCTTACTTTCTGACATGAAACTTTGCCTTCAAGTGAATGGAAGTATACCAGTGCAAGGCTATACGTTGTCTGCTTTACTTTCACCCTGCAGTAAAGGCAACTTATTCATGTTTCAGATACCACCTCAGATAAACAAGTAAGAAAAATAATATATCACTTTCCATCAAGGAGCCCAAAGAGCTTTAGGAATATAGACAACAAGTCTTATATGAAACTCTGACAAGATGGATGCCATTATGCAACATGACATTTGTC